GGAATTTTGTAGTGAAATGAATGAAATATCAGCAAAAAAAAATTTTTTTTAAAAACTTATTTGATCCTTTCAAATAAGCTATTCAAAATTTTAGTTAATTTAAAAAAAAATTTGTTTCATTTTTTGCCTATCTTGCATATCAATAATGACGAAAACTAACATATTTATATATTCAACCTGTGTATGGTCTAAGTTGTATAGAATGCTACAAGATCTGATAGTCCCGATCTTTCGAATCGTTTAGCGATTGATATGTTCTTGAAAGAGATCCGCAATCAATTTTAGCATAACCCGCGCGATAAAACAATGTAAAAAGTATCGCATTTCTTTTAAACGTGCGTAGGCCTTTCACTTCTCACTTAAATTTCATCGATATTATATCATCACTAATGGCGAAAATCAATTTGTGTCAAATAATACAAGATCAATTGTAACTGATAGTTCCGAAACTCACCTCATAGAAATCGTTTAACGATCAATATAGCCTATTTAGAACGACCGAATCTCAAACATCAATATTTATTTATTTTAAATCTTCCGACAAATAACAAATATATATAATTGCTTGATCGCTGATGAAGGAGTGTTGTCCGGAAAATTTCGTTCTCGCTCTGGCTGTTTTACTTACTTTGGTTTTTCTTATAACTCTGTGTCTCAATTGAAGTTCAGTCGTTGTTTCTAAAAGCATTATTAGGCCTAGGCTTATTTAGTAATTTGCCTTTTAATTTATATAGGTCTATGCCTATATATAATACTTATTTATACCGGTATGCCTTTTATTATATAAAAAATAAAAATTAATTATATATATATATATATATAAATCATCAAAGAAATGTAAATACAGTGTTGGGATAAAATTAATTGTGTAATAAAATTAAATATTAAATCAATAGATAAATTTTATAAAATATTTGTGAACAGTATCTACAATAAAACATTCGTGGGAATTTAAAAAAAAATTAATGGGATAATTATTATAGGTCGCAGTCATAAAATCAAACTGTAGTATGGTTACCGGTATATAAGCATATCGATATTTCGTTAAAATAAAATAATATTAAAAACAGCAGCATGAATGTAGGTAGGATATAATTAGGCCTAGGTCTACTGTATTCATAATATTATTGGGCCGATTAGTAGGCCTATGCCTACTACTACAATTTTGCCGTCCCCGTCTCTTGTGTCTATGGCCTTCTTGTACGTGTACTACTCAAACTTTCCCTTCATCTAATCTTCCTGTGAGCTTGTTCATACAAATTTATTCGATAATGTAAGATATCTAATTGTCATGACCAAGCCACCGAAATAAGTTCACAGTATGACACACATAACCCCTAATGCTGTAGTTGCCAATGAAGTTAAACTGTATTTGACCGTCGACTATAGACAGCATATGCTCCAAAATGGTAGGCCACTCGTCAAGCTGTCTATACAAGCAGTTGTGTGAAAATGGATATAAAGTTCAACGATAGCATACGTTTTGACGGTGACAAGTCAATAACATAGATATTAAATGTGACAGGGACGTTGCGAAAATAAATTAATGTCAAGGAATAAAATTAATACTATTAATAGAATATTTAACCTGTCACGAGGTGGACTATTTAATATAAATGTGGATAAAAATATATTTATTTACATATTTATATGATTAATGTCTCTAGTCTGTCTAAACTGACAATTAGGTAAATACATGAATAAAATAAAATAATTATTATTATAAAGGCCTATGCCTAGGCCTATGTAACATGCGGTATATAGGTCTGGTCAAGTACCGTACATATATAGGCCTACATATTGCCTATATATATT